GGCGTAGTGGCGGGCGCCTGTAGTCCCAGCTACTCGGGAGGCTGAGGCAGGAGAAATGGCGTAAACCCGGGGAGGCGGAAGCTTGCAGTGAGCTGAGATCCGGCCACTGTACTCCAGCCTGGGTGACAGAGCGAGACTCCGTCTCAAAAAAAAAATAAATAAATTAAATAAATAAATAATATCTAATAATATATAATATATAATATGATCATATGTATTATTATATATAATATATTTATAATTATATAATATAATAAACTATATGTCAATATTATTATATTTAATATGCAATTTATATATTTATATTATATGATTATGATTATATAATTTATATATTTATAATTATATTATATATAATTTATGTAAATATAAATATAAATATATATAATTATATTTTTATATATTATATAATATATTATATATAACATATTTTATATATAAGATATCCTATATAATATATATGGGACTAATAACATATATTTTGTGTTGTGTGTGTGTGGTGTGTGTGTGTTGTGTGGTGTGTATTTAGACAGTCTCTTTGCTCTGTCCCCCAGGCTGGAGTGCAGTGGCACGGTGGAGCTCACTACAGACTTGACTTCCTGAGCTCAAGCAATCCTCTCACCTCAGCATTCCAAGTAGCTGGGACTACAGGTGTGCACCATCATGCCGGCTGTTTTTTAAATTTTGTGTAGAGATGGGGTCTAGCTATGTTGCTTGGGCTCATCTCAAGCTCCTGGGATCAAACGATCCTCCCTCCTTGGTCTCTCAAAATGCTAGGATTACAGGCATGAGATACCGAGGGCAGCTTGGTCCTATTTTTTGAGACCCCTTGACTGGATGTTTCAAGGGAGCATATTCTGGCTGAGTTTACTGGAGAATTTTCTTGTAGAGCTTGTTATGAACTGAATGTTCATGTTCCTCCCAAATTCATATGTTTAAATTTATTCCCCAATATGATCATATATGGTGGGGCCTTTGGGAGGTAATTAGGTCATAGGGCAGAACCCCCATTTATGGGATTAGTGCCCTTTTAAGAAGAGACCAGGCTGGACACGATGGCTCATGCCTGTAATCCCAGCACTTTGGGAGGCTGAGGCAGGCGAATCACCTGAGGTCGGGAGTTTGAGACCAGCCTGACCAACATGGAGAAACCCTGTCTCTACTAAAAAATACAAAAAATTAGCTGGATGTGGTGGTGCATGCCTGTAATCCTAAGTACTCAGGAGGCTGAGGCAGGAGAATCGCTTGAACCCAGGAGGCGGAGGTTGCGGTGAGCTGAGATCGCGCTATTGCACTCCATCCTGGGCAACAAGAGCTAGACTCCATCTAAACAAACAAACAAACAAACAAAAACCGGACAGCTAGCTCTCTGTCATGTGAAAATACAAGAAGCCAGCCATCTGCCACCAGACCCTACCCATGCTGGTGCCCTGATCTCAGTGTTGTTCTAGTAATTTATTATATCTGCCCAAACCAACTAAGACAAATAGCCACATCTTCAAAGTGTTCTGCCTTTTAGGACTTTTGTAGAGGGGAGAGAGTGTGAGTATGAGGTTGGACCTGATTATTTTAGAAACTCCTTCCAACTTTAGGTGTCTGTAAATTCCTTCAGGGCAGATTTTGTATATTTGAATTGTCACCCTTCAGAGGAGATGCTTAGGAAATGTTAAAGATACTAAAGGAGCACAGCCCCAGGACCTAGACAGTACGGGGACTGCTTTGGATGTTCTCATTTGATCGTTGTGGGCTGGGCTGTGGCAGACTCTCACACTATCTGAGCCTCTGTTTTCTCATCGGTAAAAATGCAGAGTAATAATACTAGCCCTTTGGGAAGCCGAGGTGGGCAGATCACGAGGCCAGGAGTTCGAGACCAGCCTGACCAACATGGTGAAACCCCGTCTCTACTAAAAATACAAAAATTAGCCGGGCATAGTGGCACGCGCATGTAATCTCAGCTACTCAGGAGGCTGAGGCAGGAGAATCACTTGAACCCGGGAGGCAGAGGTTGCAGTGAGCCGAGATTGCACCACTACACTCCAGTCTGGGTGACAGAGTGAGACTCTGTCTCAAAAACAAAAAAGAAAAGAAAAAAAAAAATTGCAGAGTAAATAGTCCCCGCCCTCCTTCCCCCACAGATTTGCTGAGACAACAACATAAATTGATTGAAGTGTGTGCATTGCAAATAAGCAATGTTTCCTTTTGCCAGCTTTCAATCTTGCTTTCCAAGTTGCTTGCCTTATCCACTTATAGACAGAATAAGAAAAGACCTATGGAAAGAGTACAGTCTGTGGGGTCTGACAGCCCTGGATTTGAATCCCTAAATAGCACCAGCCACTTGTGTGACCCCAGCCAAGTAGGGTGTCCTTTCTGGATCTCAGCACTAAAAATAGCTGCCTTGCCTGGATCTTATGAGGTAAGCTTGGAGCCTAGTTTCTGCACTCAGACCTTTGTTAGTGGTGGCCTTTTAAATGTATCTTTTCTGTATTCTCTGTTAACCCCATACACTCTTTTGTTTATTTATTCATTAAAAATTTTTTTTTTTAAACTGTTTTTTTGAGACAGGGTCTTGCTGTCTCTCCCAGGCTGGAGTGATCATAGTTTACTGCAGCCTCGACCTGGCAGGACTTAAGCGATCCTCTTGCCTCAGTCTCCTGAGTATCTGTGACTACAGGTTTGTGCCATCCTGCCCAGCTAATTTAGGTATTTTTTCCAAGAGACAGAGTTTCCCTGTGTTGCCCAGGCTGGCCTTAAACTCCTGGGCTCAAGCGATCCATCTGCTTCGGCCTCCCAACGTACTGGGATTACAGCTGTGAGCCACTGCACGTCCTCCATGCAGTCGTAACACTATGGGCAGCCACGTTGGGCAGCTTTTGTGTTGTCAGGGAGACACTCTTCCTCAGCCCCTGGGCACTCCGCTGCAAACTTCCTGGCTCTCTGGGATGCTGGAAATCAGCTCCATTTGTGTTACCCTGAAGATGTGTTTGATTTATAACTCATTCTGACTCTGTAGAAAATAATTCAATAAAAACTCAATTGGTTTTCCATTAGCCCTGAGCAGGGATGAGGGATAGTATCTTCTTTTATAAAACATGTGAATAATAAAACAGCCCTGGTCACACAGCCCAGAGTGGGTAAGTACCTGCTGGCTGAAAGGAAAAGCGCTGGTTCAGACCATTTCTCCCTTGCTGCTGTGTGTGCTGAGAGAACCACTCCTGTCCTCTTTACTTTTCCTTTTAAGATTTTTTTTTTTTGAAACGGAGTCTCTCTGTCGCCCAGGCTGAAGTGCAGTGGCACGATCTTAGTTTACTGCAGCCCCCGCTTCCCAGGTTCAAGCGATTCTCCTGCCTCAGACTCCCCAGTAGCTGGGATTACAGGCACCTACCACCATGCCCAACTAATTGTGTATTTTTAATGGAGACAGGGTTTCACCATGTTGCCCGGACTGGTCTTGAACTCCTGACCTCAGGTGATCCAGCCGCCTTGGCCTCCCAAAGTGCTGAGATTACAGGCGTGAATCACCACTCCCGGCCCTTTTTAGTTGGTTTTTTTTTTTTTTTTTTTTGGAGATAGAGTTTTGCTCTTATTGCCCAGGCTGGAGCAATGGCGTGATCTCGGCTGACTGCAACCTCTGTTTCCCAGGTTCACGCGATTCTCCTGCCTCAGCCTGCCCAGTAGCTGGGATTAGAGGCGCGCGCCACCATGTCTGGCTAATTTTGTATTTTTAGTAGAGACGGGGTTTCACCATGTTGGCCAGGCTGGCTTCGAACTTCTAACCTCAAGTGATCCACCCGCCTCCGCCTCCCAAAGTGCTGGGATTACAGGCTTGAGCTACCGCGCCCGGCCTAGGATTTTTTAATTGAAAAAGAAATACATGTACATGTTAAAAGATTCAAACAGAACATTAAACATACAAAACGGAGAACGGCTCTGTTTTCCATCTTCCCTGAGGATGCCACTGTTAATTCATGTGCTGGGCATCTTAAGTCTGTAAGCCTCCCCCATCTCCAGCTTTATTTTATTGTTTTGGAACCCAGAGGGTTTTAAATCCTTAAATGGCTTCTGCCCGCACTTAGCAAGCTTGGCGCCTTGGCACTGAACTAACGACAGCTGTTCTAGCCCCTGTCGCCTCTTTGGAACCTTTTATGTGGATGGATTGTTGGGGCCCTCAAAGTCGGGAGTGCCATGGTGCCAGCTGGGGATCAAGACCGCGCGCCACACAGGGGGCAGCCGACCCAGGCTGGGGCTCGCACCTCACGCGCCTCCCGGACCCTGCGATTCTAGAGGCGCTCCCAGGCCGCTCGCGCCACGGTCACCCAACCTGAAAAGGGGGGTCACGACCGTGGGGGTCATGTGGGGTGCCAGGGGTATCCACAGTGGGCTTCCGCGGGGCCTCCACCCCGGAGCTTCACAGAGGAAGTGAAGTTTGAGCTGCGCGCCCTGAGGGACTGCTAAGCGGCGGAGACAGGACTAGGCCTCCTTCCAGCTGCGCCGCCCCAGGTGCAGAAACTTTCCTCCCAGTCTCCGCTCTCTTGCCCGTCCCTCTCTGCCTCCTCCCTCCATCTCCCTCCTTCCCTACTCCTCCTCCTCCCTCCTTCTTTCTCCCCTCCTATTTCTCTCCCTCCTCCTCCCTCTCTCCTCCTCCTCCCTCTCCCTGTCCCCTCCCTCCCTGTCCCCGATTCTCTCTCGCTGCCCCTCCCTCCTTCTTTCACCCCTCCTCCTCCTCCTCCCTCCCTCTGTCCCCTTCCTCCCTGTCCCTCCTTCTCTCCCTCGCTCCACCTGCCTTCTTCTTTCACCCCTTCTTTTTCTCTCCCTCCTCCTCCCGCTCCCCTCCTCCTCCTTCCCCCTGTCCCTTCCATCCCCCTGTCCCCTCTTCTCTCCCTAGCTCCTCCTCCCTCCTTTCTCCCTCGCTCCTGCCCCCTGGCTTCCCTCGCATCTCTTGCAAAACCCGGGACGGATCGCGGGCCCGGGCCCGGGCCCGGCCTCCGCGCAGGCGCAGGAGCAGCGCCGGCTCGGCCACTAGTCGGAAGCGCCAGCCCCGAGCCGGGGAAGTGGCCGCAGAGGCTGCTCGGTCCCGCTGCCCGCCAGGTCGTGGGCTCCCGCTCCGGGCCCGGGGCCACCGGCTGTGTAAGTGCAAAGCGGGGGGGCTCCCGGTCAGGCAATTCGGGCCGGCTGCGGGGAGGGCTGGCTGCGCGGCTGGCCGCGGAGTCGGCGCGTCCCGCGGAGGGGCTCGCCCGGTCCTCACCTGTCCGGGCCGAGCCCACCACACCTGTCCGGGTCCGCTGCCCGGCCGGGGTTCAGCTTGCACCTGCTCGAGGCGCCCTCGCTCCTGTTGGCGCTCTGCTTACACCTGTCCAAGGCCGTGTCCACACCCGCTGAAGACCCGGCGGACACCTGTCCGGGACCCGGCCCACACCTGCTGCCCGGGCTGGCTCTGCTGTCCCGAGCCCGCGGCGGGGTCCCCTTCCCCTCTGCGCCTCCGAGCTGTCTCCGCCTGACTTCCCTTCCCGGGCCGTCCGCGACGCTGGAGCCCCCCGCCTCTGGGCCTGGCTACGCCCCCTGGAGCCCGCGGGGTCTGGGACACGCGGCTGGGGCCTGGGGACCTGCACAGCCCACGCCCCCGGCGCTTTCCCCGCCCTGCGATCCCGGGCTTCTCCTCTAGCCCTTTCCCTCCTGTCTCGTGGATTCAAAGTGCCTCCGATCTAGCTGGGCGGCATCAGGCGGTACTCTGTGGGATAAGCGCGCTGTCAACTCCAACTTATCCCAGGGAAGCGTGGGGAGAGGAAATCAGCCTGCTGGCCTGTGGTCTTCTCCCTGTCAGCCCACCCCACGCCCCTCCACTCCTACGGACCTTCCCAACGTGAATGTCTGTTAACCGAAAGTTTTCCCGTGTTAGGATGCATTGTCTGTTTTGAAATGTTTTTATAGAGAGAGGAATTAAAACGTTGGAAGCAAGGCCCAGTTGGAAGGTGTGGGGGAGTGACATCCCTTCTATCCCCAACGGCCCTAGTTTAAACTGGTGACTGTCCAGTGTTTCTAAGGTAGTCATAGCTACCTATGACATCTTTATTTGTTAACATGAAACAGAGCATCGGATGAATGATATTGGAGGCCCAGGAACATTCTCGTCCTAAAGATCTGGCTAGGTTTTGTTGTGTGTGTTTGTTCGTTTTTTTTTAAAATTGTGTGGAAGACCAGTAGTGTAGAGGGAAAAATAGTTGTCTGGAAACATGTAAACAATGAATGTTTCAGAAATCTAGTGTGTCAAAAATAACAGCTTCATTGAGCCTCGATTGCCTGCCATAAAATCCACTGCTTTGAAGTGTACAATTCAGTGCCTTTTTTTTTTTTTTTTTTTTTTTGAAACGGAGTCTGGCACTGTCGTCCGGGCTGGAGTGCAATGGTGCGATCTCGGCTCACTGCAACCTCTGCTTCCCGGGTTCAAGCGATTCTCCTGCGTCAGCCTCCCGAGTAGCTGGGATTACAGGCTCTGCCACCATGCTCGGCTAATTTTTTTTTTGTATTTTTAGTAGAGAAGGGGTTTCACAACGTTGGCCAGGCTGATCGCGAACTCCTGACCTCGTGGTCCACTCGCCTTGGCCTCCCAAAGTTTTGGGATTACAGGCGTGAGCCACCGAGCCCGGCCAATTCGGTGATTTTTAATATATTCACACTCGTGTAACCATTGTAATTCCAGAACATTTTCATCACCGCAGAAAGAAACTCCATACCATTAGCAGTCACTCCTCATTTCCCCCTCCCACAGTCCCTGGCAGCCACCAATTTACTTTCGATATATATAGATTTGCATATTCAGGGCATTTAATATTAATGGAATCATACAACATGTGACCTTTTGTATTTGGCTTCTTTCACTCAGCACAATGCTTTCAGAAGTTTTTCACATTGTGGCTTACATCAGCACTTTGTTCCTTTTGTGGCTGAATAATATCCCTTTGTATGGATTTAACATTTTGTGTATCAGGCAGTTGATGGACATTCGTGTTGTTTTCACTCCTTAGCTATGAAGAATAATGCGTGCCTGGCCGGGCGTGGTGGCTCACACCTGTAATGCCAGCACTTTGGGAGGCCAAGGCGGTGGATCACGAGGTCAAGAGATTGAGACCATCGGCCAACATGGTGAAACTCCCTCTCTACTAAAAATACAAAAATTAGCTGGGCGTGGTGGCGGGCGCCTGTAGTCTCAGCTACTGAGGAGGCTGAAGCAGTAGAATCCCTTGAACCTGAGAGGCGGAGTTTGCAGTGAGCCGAGATCGCGCCACTGTACTCCAGCCTGGCGACAGAGTGAGAAAACAAACAAACAAACAAACAAGAATAATACTGTGCCTGTATTCCCAGCACTTTGGGAGGCTGAGGCAGGTGGATCACCTGAGGTCATGAGTTCGAGACCAGCCTGGACAACATGGCGAAACCCCATCTCCACTAAAAATACAAAAATTAGCCGAGCATGGTGGCTCACGCCTGTAGTCCCAGCTTCCCAGGAGGCTGAGGCATGAGAATGGCTTGAACCTGGGAGGTGGAGGTTGAGGTGAGCTGAAATCCTGCCACTGCACTCCAGCCTGGGTGACAGAGCAAAACTCCATCTCAAGAAAAGAGGAATAATGCTGCTGTGTACATTCCTGTACAAGTTTTTGGTGTGGACACATGTTTTCGGATCTCTTGGATTGCTGGTTTTATGGTAGCTCTATGGAGGAACTACCAAGTTGAAGATATATATTTTTGCTGTTTTAATACCTGTATTAGCTTAGTCTCAGATACCAGAACTGGCTCAGTGGCTGGGGCTTTTTTTTTTTTTTTTTTTGTTAAGAGTCTTACTCTATCACTCAGGCTGGAAGTGCAGTAGTGTGATCTCAGTTCACTGTAACCTCCTCCTCCCTGGGTTCAAGCGATTCCTGTGCCTCAGCCTCCCAAGTAGCTGGAATTACAGGTGTATGTCACCACGCCTGGCTAATTTTTGTATTTTTAGTAGAGAAAGGGTTTTGCCATGTTGGCCAGGCTGGTCTGGAACTCCTGACGTCCTCAGGTAATCCACTCGACTTGGCCTCCCAAAGTGCTGGCCTCCCAAGTAGCTGGAATTACAGGTGTATGTCCACACGCCTGGCTAATTTTTGTATTTTTGTAGAGAAAGGGGTTTTGCATGTTGGCCAGGCTGGTCTGGAACTTCCTGACGTCCTCAGGTAATCCACTCTACTGCCTCCCAAAGTGCGGTGAGATCACAGGTATGAGGTCAGTTTTTTTTTTTTTTTTTTTTTTTTTTTTTTCTTGAGACAGGGTCTCACTCTTATCGCTGGCTAGGGGAGTGCAGTGGCACGATCTCAGCTCAGCTGCAACCCCACCCTCCTGGGTTCACAGCGATTCTGCTGGCCTCAGCCTCCTGAGTCAGCTGGGAATACGAGCGCGTGCACCCCCACGCCTGGTAATGTTGTTTTGTATTTGTTATGTAGAGACCCCATGTTTTTCCATAGTTGGTCAGGCTGGTCTCAACTCCTGACTCAAGTGGATCTGGCCTGCCTGGCCTCCAAAGTGCTGGGATTACAGGTGTGAGCCACCGACGTGGCTGATTATACTGCTTTTCAGATGAGGAG